AGCAGCAGTGTGTGATAGAAATGGGGGCTGTGAAACTGCTGCCCCAACCTGCCCCTCAGAACATCCCAAGCTGAATGAATTCCTTGATTTGATTAAGCACTGCCCAGAAAAACCTATAACCACAACTGACAAGGTAGAAACACCCAGCAGTACATGGGGAAGGATACAAGGATATTCCAAGCAGGAATTTCTGCCAAACCCATCACAATCTCTGTATAGCTTGAAAACCAGTAACTGGAGAACTCTTTACTGTGCTAATCTTACCAAGAGGTAAGATACTAGCACAGCAAAAGATGATAGAGTAGCACTTTTATTTTTAGCTTGCATATCCTAAAGTTTTCAGTAGCATTAAATATGCCACTTAATCTCAAATGAACTGTTTTTATATAGTTGAATTACCAGTTAGAGCATTTACAGTCCATTGAAAGCTAATGGAATTTCAGTACTTAAATATTTTCTGGATAACCTCAGAACAGCTGAGGAGCTGTTACAATTCATAGCTCAGTAAGATTATTAATTAGGTTTGTGATCCAGGGAATTTCTGTGACTGCATTCTTGTAGGCATATCACAGGACCAAACACCTCAAAGCCTCTAATTCATATTGTGATAAATGAGGATCACTAAAATACTGTTGCAAAACCTTGTCCTTTCTGTGCTTGCTTTTGATGACATCATATTTAAGTCTTTAATAGGTTGAATACCCAGATTTTCCTTTAAAAGTAGGTATCTGAAGGGTTTAACAAAGCTCCTCTGTCAAGCTCTTGGGCTAAGGGTTTCTGGAATCCCGTTTTTAAAGTCCAAAGAATGGTTGCTTTCAGTGGCAGGATAGCAATGAAAAGAAATGTCCAAAGATATCAGCTGTGCAGCGAGAGAACAAGGGCTGATCTCAACAATTTTGAGCTTAGAGCTTTATTTCAGTTTTAAATCTCAAACTGAATTGGAAGAACTAGAAGCAATTCCAATAAAGCCTCTGGAGGAGTCTAGAATTTTTTTATTATAGTAGCAGAATAGTTACTGGAAAACAGGTAGACCTACAGAAGTTTCTCATGTTTTTTTTTATTCTATGTGTTTCTGTGGGCTGTAGCAAAATGGGTTCCTTTCTTGTGAAGTGACAAGTGCTTTTTCCTTTAAGTGACTGTACAACTGTGGAGTCTTAATGCAGGTGAAGTAAAAAGGGATGTAAAAACACAGTCTGGTCTGAAATGCATGTAGTTATTCAGTAACAGTCTCTGAATCTTAGGATTGGTTTACCTAATCCCGTTTGTTAACAAGGTTCTGAACAGTCTAGCTGTTTAGGCTGGGGAGGGGGTGGAGAGGTAGCAAACTGGTGCTGAAGTTTGGAGTTTATGAAGCTGTTTATAAATAAATGCCTTGAAGTGCTTGGTTTCGAGGGACCAGCCAAGAATGACACAACATTGTGCAGGTTTCTCTACAGCAGGAGGCCTTAGTTAACCTGGAGAAGTTATAATCTAAATAGGTAAGACAAGGGGAGGCTGAAATAGTTGGTGAGCTTAGGGTTAGATTTCTTATATTAAGAGTGATGTGGTTTGATTAGTCTTGTGGCCAAGTACAGATCCTCAGAAGTCTAAATCAAAACAGCTTTTTAGTAACTACTATGATTAGATTTGTAGATCTTGCTGTGTTTCATGTGGCCAGCCTGTCTGCTGGTGTAACCTTCATTGCTTGGTCTGAAGAGCATCTTCGCTTGCACCACAAAGCTCCTATTGTGCATATGGTTTTGTGTAACCTATTATAAAACAAATCCAGAGTTATCAAGTCAATGGCTTAATCCTTATCTTTTAAAGCAGATGAAGCAGGTAATTACTTTTAATTTCTTAAAGATGAAAGACTGCCCAAAAAAGTTTATGCTCTGACCTGGGCTCTGTCTAGCGCTTGATTTTTGAAGCAGGATGTATAGTAACCAGACACACATTCCCCTCCAGTCTTTCAGAAGACTTTTTTTTTTTACAGCTTGTGACACCACACACAGTTCAACATGGTGTCATTAAATGGAGGGTAAAATGACAGACTGAAATGAAACTAACTGAATGCCCTTGACTGGATTGCTTCTCTTCCTGTCAGAGTTGGGTAAATCTTGTTGTTTGGGTACAGTTTGCTTTCCAGCAAGTATGGAGCAACATGGGAGAGAACGGAATACTCAACAGAATTAGGTGACTTGTCTGGACACTTATTCAGAGTCCCCTCTTCAGCAGATATAGTAACACTTTTGGGCTTAAATTTGCATTCCTTCAAACTGACAGGAATTGAATAGTGTCTTAAAAGGAACAGCAGTCATCACGGGTTCTTTTAGATGCCGTTACTTTTTTGAGAGATGTTTGAATTTCTCAAGACTTCCTTTTCTGTAAGTATCAAATGAGTTAGTATCAGTGTCTTGACTGCCTCAAGGATGCTTTATCTACAGAATGGGATGAAAATTCGTCTTTGGCTACCCAGATGACTGAGGAGAGAGCTTCCACTTGTATTAATGTGTGTTGGTTTTTTTAACCTCAAGGAACTGCTAGATGTGAGCTTTGAACTGTGGTATATAAACTGTTTCTTGGGTTGCAGAGGTGGAAAAGCAAATAAACAGTTGGCTCCAGTGACTTCTCTTGTTTTATTAGAGTATTCCTATTAAAATCTCATCATGCCCCTTTCTGAACCAGTGTCAATCTGGTGCCACCCTGCTTTAGCCTTGCCTTGTTCTGTACCACCTGGCTATTGCAGGGCTGGAGGGGGCCATGCTTGTTCTGCTGCCACCAGAGAGGACGTGCCTTGTGTGAAGCTTCTGGGATTTCACTGAGGGCAACATAGGGGTTGTGTTGTGGGCAGGCTCTTGCATTCAGAGGGTTCGTGTAGTGTCGGTACTCTTATAAGTTTCAAGTGACACTCGTAACAGCTCTGCAGGGAAGCTCGAGTGTCTTGGCCATTAGGACCTGGCTTGGCTTTAAGTACAATCAAACTAAATTTGTATGCTATTGGGTGGGTTTTGTTTAACATTATACTTTGGTTACAAGTCAGGTAATGGATGAATTCACTGTCCCCAACACAAATGTGTGCTTGTGTTGCACAGGGAGAATATCTGAGGAGTAGTTGTTGTCACATCCCATTTCTAAGGAGTGTCCTGGATGAGGGAGCAGATGTATAACATAGTATAGGAGATTACCAGAAGAAAATATCTGTCTTCACTTACCAGTTGTTATCCCAGAATGAGCACTTAAAGATGATTGATTTGCATTACTGTACCAAATGGATGTAGCAGACAGGTGTAAGTAAAATATTCTGCATGGAAAAAATACTACTGCTCAGATGTTTGAAAATGGTGTCCTGAGGGCACTTCTTGATTGTTGGCATGTTTGTTTGTGTATGCAGTAGTAGTCAATGAGAACTTAGTTTTATTTGTTGCTTTTCAGAACATAAAGTCATGACAAGGGGGGGGGGCAAAAAGTCTTCACCATCAATGTGTCCCAGGGCAGGTTGCCCAGACTGATCGTGGAATTGTCAGCTTCAAAACATGAGGCACATAAGCTGGATTGCTTGGATTAAACTGCTTTAAGGGAGAGGTTTGGACTGAGCAGTATCCAAAGGTCCTTTCCAGGCTAAATAATCCTATGGTGGTGTTTGTAGGTTGACAATCCCTTAGTCCCTAGTTAATTTTGTTTAGGGCAGCTAGTTAGCTATAACTTCTACTGCAGGCCTTGTGTTTCCGTCCAGTAGAACTTGATGGTGTGGTATGGCAGTTCCAGTGTCTTTCTGGAGTAATCGCATCCAGCCAAACTTGAGACTCCTCATAGGCCTGTTGGTTCTGTGCTTCTGTAATAATGGGTGCTACTGTAAATCAAGGCTGGTATAGCCACTTTCCATGGCAGTATTGCCTGAATGGTCTGCTGTTCTCCATGCAGCGCTGCCAGGGTATGAGCAGCTGGGGCCCTCAGTTGTGTTGGTGGGAGGATCCAAGTGTTGCTATCCTAGCATCTCCTTTATAGCTGTCATGCATCTGGAATACATGCTCGTTTTTTTTCTGTGAGAATCCTGACTGGTGACACAGCTTTTTGTATCAGTCACTTCTGCTTTTGTCCCCAGTGTGCTGTTCTTAGAGCTGCTGCTCTGTGCTAATTGGGGTGTGGCAGCTGATGCTTGTGTTTGTCACAATGGCTGTGTCCAGCTACTCTTTCAAAAAAAAAAGGCAGTGTTATTTTTGAGGTCCCCAGCACTTAATTACTGTTTGCATAACATACTGACAAAGGCTTGTTAACCACTGCGTGTTTATTGAAGCTTGTGCTTTTATGGCTTTGCAACATCAGAAGAGTAGGAACAGAAAATTTCTTGCAGTACAGCAGGATTTTTTCTTTTTCAAAAGCAAATGAGATTTGCAGCATCAAAAGGCAGGAAGGGTATAAAATAAATGCTAATGCCATGTCATAAGACTTTCTGCCAGAAGCTTTTGCAACTTGTTCCCTGCCAGAATTTACTGTGTATCTCTGCTTTTTTCTTAGCCTACGTAGAGGAGATCAAAAGTCATCTTTCTACCTATAAGCAGATCTAAGGTATAGCTCTGCTCTGAGGTTGAAACTAAGCTGCATCAACATTAAAGAAATATTTCAGAAAGGTGTAAAGCCTTATAACAAGAACAATAAAAACCACTTAATTTCATGTTTGAGAATGTGTGGGTGGTTTTTTCCTTTGGAACTGCTCTAGATAGTAGTTGTGTAGGATGGATTTACAAATAAGAACAGCTTGTTCAGTTAGTAGCTGCTTTGAGAAACCTTTGGCACTTTTATTAATGGTACTCTTGTCACAAATAGAAGGTGTTTGTTCTAATACCTCATTCCTACTCATACTTTAGACATCAGTGACATGGTTTGCTTGCCAGTGCATTGAAATGGCCCATTCTTCAGTCTTGCTTCAGGGTTTTAATCTGGTCCTTCAGCACTAGTGAGATACTTTACCTGCATGCTGCCGTGATGTCACCAGTGTCATGGATGCTGACTGTGTTTCTTCTGTCTGCAGATCTGATTAGTTGCCTGGTGCTTCATCTGTGGCAAGCAGGACAATGGCTGCCAGCAAGAGCAAGAACCAGAGTTCCTTGGCCCTCCATAAAGTAATTATGGTTGGTAGTGGAGGCGTGGGCAAATCTGCACTCACTCTTCAGTTCATGTATGATGAGGTGAGTAGCTTTGGTTCAGCTTCTTCAAAGCACCAATGGATATAGCTTGCTAAACATTTTTTGAGAGGGACAGGGGGACTAAAGGTAAGTAGCAAAAGACCTGGTGACCTGCCTGGCAGGAGAAGAATGTAGGAATCTGGGAAGGGTGCCCCCTGGGAACATCTTTGGCCAAGGGTGACAAAATGGATGCTTATTAATGAAAGAACAGTCTTCAAAAGACATGCATAATGTGCATGTGCTTGTCTGAGTGTACAGAGGCTGTTACCAGTTGGCATTGAACTTAACTAGCCTAAAAGAAACTGCAACAAAATTAAGGCTGAAGTCAGAACTAAGCATTCTAGCTCATTCTGAGCTGGATGATGAAGTAGGCATGTTCATAGCATGAGTTCTTCTTTACTGGTGTGCAGGAAGCTAGATCAGACAATCCAGACCAGTACGTGAAGGAATACATGATCCTGTAATGCAGAAGTTAGTATTTATCTATAGGCTATCCACATAAACTATAGTGATGTGAGTGTCTGAGCAGGTGACATGGTTATTAGTGAAGGCCAGCTGGTTTAATCAGGCTCATGGCACAGAGGTAGAAAGGTAAGTAGCCTATGTAGGATGCAAGCTGTCAGCACAAGACTAAGTTTTACTGGCAGTTTCATTGAGGGTCTGATCAATATTGAATTGACTAAAGCATGTGCCTGTGTAATTATGGAGCAGGTTTTCATGATCAGCAGCTGGATGCTGTCATCTACACCTGTTGAAGCTTCAGATACCTGTACCTGCAGGACACTCAAATGCTTTTTCTTGAAGTGGGAGATCTAGATGATGCCACCAGGTTGCTGGTAGCTTACACTCTATCTTTGTCCCTTAAATTGTGCTGAAATTGCTGACCAGTGTTTCATGTAGCAAGACAGTTTCTTTTGACTAGGCAGACTGGCTCTTTGATGTATTAAGTGCTTAAACAATTTGCTTTTTATAGTAAAACTAAAAAAAGTGGTGGAACTTAGTAGCTGACTGAATTGTGAGAATGTTATCAAGAATTTAAATGTCACTGAAGTGAAAGAGTGGATATGGACAAATACTGAGACCATTTGACAGTAATTCTAAACACTAGTCCCTTTCTTATTTTCAGTTTGTAGAAGACTATGAACCTACCAAGGCTGACAGCTACAGAAAGAAGGTAGTTCTGGATGGTGAAGAAGTTCAGATAGACATTCTGGACACAGCAGGACAGGAGGATTATGCAGCTATCAGAGATAACTATTTCCGCAGTGGGGAAGGGTTTCTTCTAGTCTTCTCAATAACAGAGCATGAATCCTTCACAGCAACAGCAGAGTTTCGGTAAGTAGCTTCTTACCGAAGAAATATCTGGGGGAAATATCTGGTTCTCATGCTGCTCTGACAACTCTTCTTAAAAGCTACAGCTCTTCATCTTTTGTCCATTACCATTTGGTCAATAGAAGTGGCAACCTGACCATTTTGCTGTCAGTAACTGGTGCCTTAAGCCACAGTATCCAGCCTCTGGCTCTAGTTGTCTTCATGCCTGCAACTTACAAGTACATTATGCCAGCAGCAACTTCAGACGAGTAATGGATTCTTGGACTCCTAAAACATGTGTATTCAAGCCAATTTTCAGTCTTTGTGGATGTGACGTTTAATTATCTTAGAGCAGTACTTCAGGAATTAAGTCTGCCTTTTGGCCACGTTTCAGACACTGTATTGCTTACTGCTAGAAGCAGGTGCTCTAAGGAAAGGAAGGATTAGCCTCCACTCTCAGGTATGGATTGGTGCCAAACGAGGGTTGGCAGCCAAGCAGTACTATTGTAGGCAGACATATTCCTAGAAAGACGCACAGTAGTTGTTCCTGGGATTAGCAGTTCTAATATAAAAATCAACACCAGGCTGAGCACAGAAACTACTTGTATAGTGTAAAAGAAGAACAAGGGTTTTAAACAATTGTTCCAGTCTCAGAACTCATGTAGCCAGGTTCTTCAGGGCAAGTGTTTTAACTCTGATAGTAGCTCTTGCCTCAGTGTAGAAGGTAGTCCAGAGATTCCCTAGAATAGCTGTACAACGTGATGTAAAACTTGCCAAAACATAGGGAAAGTGTTAGGTGTTCATTACACTTGCCAGAATAAAAGCTCTTTTTCAGTCTGGCTTATGTTTGCTTTTGCTTCAGTAGTGCAAGGTCAACAGATACTAATTGGTAATGCAAGTGCTGCTGGTGCTTAGGTAGACACCTATGTCTAAGGTTTTCTTAAAGCTATGGCAAACTGCCCTCACACTCTAGGACTTTGGTCCAGGTTCTTAATGTATTATACTGTTCCAACACTGTAACAGTAGGAGACTGCATAATCTTTTAAGAGACATAAAATATTGTTCCTTTGTCACATAATACTTCTGTGACTTTGCTAAACTTCAGAAGGCTGACAGTTGTGGGGCACAGAAGCAGAGCTGTTCTGCTCAGTTTGCTCTAACTGGAGCACTGAAAGAAGCTACACAGTTGAACTGTTGTAGAACTGCAAAACTGAGTACTCGGACTCTTCCTAGTATAAGATGGATGAAAAAGTCAGATACCATTCAAAAAAGAGGAAGAAAATGAGACACTTGGAATTACCCAGCCTGGGTTTTGGCTTGTGTGCTTAAGTGAAATATAAGGTTAAACCCAAGGCTTAAGGCTTTGGATAAAAGGGAATAGAAATGTTTATCTTGGCAGTTTGTGGTGTTTTTTGTCAGACTTCTGTAACTAGATTTACTCTGTGTGTGTGTGTGTGTGTTCAAGATTCCAGCACAATAAAACAATGAAAAAGCAATGCTAGCCCTAAAGATGAGCAAGAAGGACTTAAAAGCTTTGAAATGGATAATCTCCTATTTTTCAATGTTTAGAAGTAAATAAATAGCAAAATTAGTTAAATGGAATGTTTAGTTAGGCTGACATGCAAGAACCAGCCCCTTGGAAAACCCTTCCCCAGGAAAGAGGAGGGAGTGGGTAGTATGAGTCACCAGCATCACGGGCTAAACTGCAGATTGGCATTACTGAGCCTCTAACTTCCAGAAATCTTCAGCTATGAAAAAGTTGAATACTGAATGAACTATGGGCTTGTATTTTAAACCCTTGCTCTCCTGCTGATGCTGTGCATTCAGTGTTTGCTTTTGGTGCCTCTGTAATCTGAAAATATGTGAAGGTACAGCTGAATGCAACAGCAGATTGTCTGCTTCAGTGTTAACACTATTCTAGATTCTCATGTGCTGTACATACATTCAGTTATTTTGTGGATGGGAAGTGCAGGCATCTGAAGTAGTGTGGTAACTCAGTGCGTGAGGAGGTGTAGCACCATGCTTATGACTAGTTTGCCTCTTCCTAACAAAATGAAGCAATCTAAAAATAACTATAGACTTGTACAGTTCTTCCAGTGTCCTAGATGGACAGCAGCATGCGTCAGTCTCTTTTCAACCTGTGTCTTGCACCAATAATAGCATGAAGTTTGAGACTGACATGCAGCATCACTCTTGTCTCCTTTCCTGGAGGCTGATGGGTACTTTTGGAATGACAGAGGATAGCTAGGTTAGTGCTGATGGTTCAAATGTTTTCTTGGAGTTATTGAAGGAGGAAGGTTGCTAGCATTTTATAGTTACTATATCTCCATTGTGTGAAGTTTAAGCAGCCATTAAGAACAATCTCTACCAGCTTCTTGTGCCCTTCCCAACCTACTGCCTTGGCAAAGCTTTGATGTTGCCCAGACCTATATTGAGGTGGGGTGTAGACTGGATGTTGACGATGGTGACTGAATCCCAAGGTGAAATTTGGCAAAGGTGGCACTTGTACTCTTCTCATTCAGATGTGAACTCCTATTGTGAGTTCCTCTTCTGCCATTAGAGCCTGTTCTTGGAGCCTGGTTAGTAAACTTGTGAACTAAGTGATAAAACTGTCTTCCTGGAAATGTGAGGCTTTTACTAGTGTAAAGCCCATAGCACTAGTGTATTAAACTCAGAATAATTTTAAAGTGTGTGTTCAACTGTTGGGAAATGTACTAAATGTTAAGTACTGTTGTAAACACTAGTAATGTGCAGACCACTTGATCCACTCCTGATAAGGGTGGGTTTTTTGTTGCTACTACTAACACTGATTTTTATTTTGACTACCTGATGCATTAGGGAACAGATCCTGCGTGTGAAGGCTGAAGAGGATAAAATTCCTTTACTAGTAGTGGGAAACAAATCTGACTTAGAAGAGCGCAGACAAGTGCCTGTAGAAGAGGCTAGAAGTAAGGCAGAGGAGTGGGGTGTGCAGTATGTAGAAACCTCTGCCAAAACTAGAGCGAATGTAGATAAGGTAAGACAAATTACATCTGCTTGATTAGATTGTTACTACTTGTTTAGTAGCTGAGTGATTAATTCTTGACTCTTGCTGGGACAAATGCAAATCCACAGTTGGCCTTCTGAAAGCCTAGATTATAAAAAAGTGAATTTACTGGAATGTGTACACTTAAGCAAATACCTAGCTTAGAGGAGCCAGAGATTTGATACAGGTTAATGCTATTGTCTTGTTTTAACTGTTTGTACCTGAATCAATAGCTTTCCAATGGTACATTGGGTGAATGGGTTTAAGGATTCCCTCAAGTATGTTGTTTTGGTTATAGGATGTGTCCTATTATTATAACAGCAATAAATAGCAAGTTATAGACACTTGCAAATTGTTCCTCCTTCCCTGCAAAGCTACATATGGTGTGGCTAATATTAAAGACTTCATTCTTGTTTTCTGCCAAGACTACTTTGAATTGTGAGAAGAACTCTTCTTGCTGTGTCCCTGTACTGTTTTGACTTGTCCATGCTGGTCTAGGATAGACATTTTCAGCATGTTTCTGCTGCTGGCTTCTTGCATAAATAGTGGTGGTGGTGAGTTATTCCAGAAGAGATGTGAATTATGACTATGGAGTGTTTGCCCAGTAGTAGGGAGAAATCAGTTTCAAGCCTAGCCTTCATTCTGTGTGGAGTGGGGGTTTCTTGAAGAAGAGGGTGCCTTTGTACTTCACCAATCCACAGAGGATGATCTGAAATTACTGTGGGGCCTGCTGAGGAACTCCAAAGGTGTGGCTTGGTAATCTGCATTTATTTAAAAGATGATGAATTGTAAGCAATTTTCTTTTTGGTTGAAGAACAGTTAACTGTACTCTTAAGTTCTTCTAGACAGCTCCCTGTTCTTCTCGTCTATATTGGTTTACTAATGGAAATGCTGTTGGTGCATATGTTACCTGTTTCTTTCATTATTGGTTAAAACAGTGTGTACCAAACTCTTGAATTGAGACCTTTTGGTTATAAAGGACATGGCATAATTTAAACTTTGTAAAGAACCATTCTGACTTTTGGAATATTGCTAGAAAGTCAGTGTCAGATGTATAAACTGGCTAATGTAGTAAAACATGAATACCTAGACTTGCTCTTGCCTATGAGCTATCTCATATGACTAGCAAATGCCTAGCCTGTTCTATACTTAAACTAGCTTTCTGATCAGTGGAGATTAACAGCACTGTAGCTGTGTGTCTGGAGTGTACCAGCATGGTGTTCTAGACTTGCTCTCATAGGTATTCTCTAGCTAGCTCATGTGACATACTGGTTATCTTCTATAAGCACTGCTTTGTGTGTGTTAAGCCAAGTTATTGGCAATTGTGGTGATTGTGCATTTACACTGTAGCAGAAAAAACACCTTAAGAGTTTTGAATGATAAACTGTTCTATTTCTCATCAGTAGCATGGTCTTGTTAGCAAGCATCAAAGACTTGTGTAATTCCCCATTTAAAAAAAAAGACTAACTCTAGAGTGACGCTGAGCTCTTGTTCTGTAATCCTAAACATAATTTTCCCCAATAACTCTCTACAGGAAAACGGCTGTTGTCTATGTACATACCACTTAAGATACATCAGGCATACAGGGGTGAAGTCAGGTAGAATTTTGGAGAAAACATCAGTGTAATGACTTTCTTGGAATCTTTTCTTATAACATAGTCTGAGAGTTTTTCATGCCTGACACTGTCCCTTGAATGCTGCAGCTTTTTAATTATAGAACAGGCAGGATACTACCGAACAGAGTGTGCTGGTAACTACATGGGAAGGACTGGACTAAATGCTGTGCATAGTTAGCAAGAGTGGTTTGCCTGGGTAATGTTTGTTAGGCACAGACAGATGTTCTCATGAACTCTGAATGCTGCTTTTGTGTAAGACTGATAATCCAATGAAAAGCTCTTAAAACAGGGCTGTTGAATGATTTGATAGCCAGGTAAGATTGTGCGACTTCTTGCCACTACTTGACTTGCTGCATAATTCTGATGTTGAGGTTGTCACTGGGATCTATGTCTAGACTCACTTCTCCTGTGTTAGGTACAGTGTGGTGCTACATCTTGATTTGCTGGCAAATACAAGTAGTTTTTATCTGCTTTCTGGTGGCAGATCTTGTTTAATCTTTCTTTATTTTTCCCTCCTAGGTATTCTTTGATTTAATGAGAGAAATCAGAGCAAAGAAAATGTCAGAAAACAAGGACAAGAATGGCAAGAAAAGTAGCAAGAACAAGAAAAGCTTTAAAGAAAGATGTTGCTTACTGTGATGCTTGGGAACTGTAAATATGTATCTACAGGTGGCATGGATAAGATACCACTAAGGATGTAGGGCTGGATTCATGAAAGGAAGTCTGTATTGACTCCTTTATCTTTTGCTTTGCATATCACACCTTCAAAATGTGAAAACAGAACTTTGAAACCATTTCTGGTATCTAACAAAACCAATGCCTACTTAAACTGAAATGGGCTCTGTCTTCCCAGTGTCTTTCAAAACTAAAACAGTTTCAGAACCACAATCCTTCTGCTTGGTTATACAAAGTACTTTCATAATAACTTCCTAGTTTAATGTTTCCCTGAATATGTATCTCTTGAACCTCTACTGGCCTTAATGAGCACAGCTGTTCAGGTTCAAACATTTTTTCTACTGTTGTTGCCCTCCTTGATGTTGCAAACTGCAGAAAAGCTAGATGACATCTGGTAAAGGGTTTGAGTCTCCATCTTCTGTTTTTTGTCACTGATATTTCTTACACTGAAATTCGCTGTCTTCTTCCCCACGCTCCATGTAAGAATTAGCAACTGACACTTGAGTCAACTCAAACCAAACTTTCTTCCCTGTTCTGTTTAGCCAATACAGCATTCATGAATCAAGCCTATGGACTCAATTCAGACTTATTTAGGCAATACGAAAAATGATATTTAAATACCGGCTAGATGTATTCCCTGCTGGTCTGTCCTCTCATCCTTAAATTAGTGCTATGGGGTGAGAAAACAACTGTAAACCTTTCTTCAAAAGGAATAATATTGTCAACATCTCCTTGAAATTCTTTCCTGGGTTTCTTCCATGTGTTGTGGCTAGCCTCAATTACACTTGCTGTACATCTATCATCCTTTCCCTCCCTGGTACTGGAACAGTGAAAGTCAAAGTGTTGATTTCATCAGTTTTGTTTGTATTGGAAACTTGTAATCATGTTAAAGTGGGAACATCTGCATCTGTCTCTTGTCTTGCTGAAGATGAAAACTTTGAGTAAGAATGGGTCACATCACACAATCATGGAACAGGTGAGGTGTACATGCTACCTCTCAATGATTAGCTGACTAGTGGGCTGTATGCTGTCAAAAAGCAAATGAAGTTAGGCAGTTGCCACATCTGTTACTGTTAATTTTATATGTACTGTTTCTGATGCACAGCAACCTAGCACATGGGGATGTGTGGTGAATTTTGCTGTCAGTTATGCAATGGTGGTCATGTATTTATCAACAAAACCCAGCCTAGACATGGAAAAGTCAGTACTTAGCAGGTCCTCTTGACAACTGACTGGACTGAGCTTTCTGATGCAGTTTAAGTGCAGTTGCCAAAAGAAACCCCTTCTGTCAGTGTTTTGGAAAGTAACTGTCTCTTCTGATTGTGGAGTCTCTCAATGAATCGTGTCTGTCTTCTATTTTGAAGGGGTAGAGGGACTCAATGTAGTGACTGTACTTAGTGAAAGGAATATGCTATGTGGTTGTTCAATGAAGCACACTGCAGCACTAAATTAACAAATGGTGTTTCTTGAGGTGAAGGAGTAGCAAATACTGTTCAGTGCTTAGTATTGTAATTTGAGGTTGAAAAAAATTTTAACATGTACTAGATTGCTCTTGCGCATTCCACCTCTGATCTTTGAAAAAAATGAGATGTGTTAGATATCAGAACCTCTGTTGGCCTGAGGTTTCACAGGGACTTCTCGCAAACTCATTGTCTTCCGTAACTAGTTTAACTTGTCAGGCAACTCATTGGATTGGGGAAACTGTACTAAATAAAAGGTGCTGTAATCTTCATTCTTGTCAAGTTAAATTCCTTCTTTGTTAATGTTATATTGTATGCGCAGGAAGAATGGTTAACCAATTCTGGAAATACTTCTCTTTGTAATACCAATTACTGTTCAAAGTCAACTTGGCAATACAGTTCTGAAGCAGAGGCTGGGAGCCTGCTGGCTTGTGGAACTTGTCACTTGAGCTGTATCACCTGTGTCTAAAACCGAAGCACCTAATGGGACACTTGGAGCTGTAACCCTTCTAACAGTTTCCTCTTGAACTTCCATGGGTAAAGTCAATTTTTGAGTACATATTGTGTGTGCAGCGAATGAACGTTTACTTCTGGAGGAAGACAACTCACTTAGGTTTGGTTTTAGTTGAGACCTAAAGGTTAAGTCCTTAATTAACCTAAAAGGATAAACAACAGTCGAGTTCACATTACAAGCTTATCTAGGTCAAGCCCCTCTGAAGCAGATTGTAAAATGTGTCTAACAAAACTGAGTAAGCTTTCCTTGCGATATGAATAATGAACTCAGCAAAGCTCACAATGAGCAGCTCAGCTGTATTGGCTCAAGAGACTTGCATGCCTTGACCTTTTGATCTCTAAAGTACTTGACAGTATTTGATAGGACAGATGAATTTCTGCTCAGAGCAGTGAGTCTCCCACTGGTGTTCTAACAGTCCATGTGCTGTTCTCACTCAGGTTATTTTTTTTAGCTGATAAAGCTCTACCACTGAAGTGAACTTACTTGGAAGAAGGTGCTTGCTGCTTCATGGCTTGATACCTTATCTCTTCAGTGTTCTGTGCTTGCCATCTTTTCCAGAAAGACGAGGCCTGGAGACTAAATACAGCAGCTTTTCAGTATTTGTTTTCTGTACTTGTGGCAAACTTCAGTTTAACTTTCCAGTTACAGCTGAAAACATGACAAACAAGGCAGCTACCATGGCTACTTGATAACAGTGGGCAACAAGCATTCTGACTTGTACCAGGAAGGCAATAAAGCTGCTCCCCTGGACTGGAATCCTGTTGCCTGCACCTCATATAGTGGAAGTGCCTGAAAGCATGCCCTTCTAAATAGCAGCAATATGACTTGAGGGTCCTTGAGTGACTTCCAGGTGTGCTTCACTGGACAGGAATGGACATCAGTATCAGGTGGGTTGACTAGAGGGAATAAAAAATGATATAGAGAAATGCTTCCTTTGGACTGGAGGGCTTCCTGGGAGCAGAGTAAAGGGAGCTTTGGCTTCTAACCTAAATGAGCACTTGCAGATCAGGTACATCAAACACGGAGGACTTGGCAAGAGGGGGCGTGTGTGGTTGCCTGCCAGCTATGCTGTGTAGCTGAGGCAACTGAAGGCTGTATGGAAGCTGATATATTCTAGCAGCCTTTACATGTTAGGGTAATTAAAGACCAAGACTTCCCAGTCAGTGTAATGCGCTCTTAAATCTTTCTGGAGCATGGCTGTAGGCAAGTAACTGGATATTTGAAGCTGGAGGTCATGCAAGACTTGACTATGCACTTGCACTTAAGCATTCAAATATTATTCTTGCATAATGACTTAACATAAAGTCAGGGAGCTGTTTACTGTTGTATGCAATCTTCCATATGTGGCTTAGATGTGGGTATGTTTTCAAGTGCTCCAGTCTTCCTTCTGGTTTGAGCAAACATTTGAAACAAGCCCCCCATTATAACAGGCGCTAAGTCATTATATGAAAAAGGGAGATTAAACTCCAGGAATGCGAAGGCAGACTTGACTTTTTTTTAATAGGAGTATCTCTCCAGATGAGAGTACAGGTGCAGCTTGAAGTGCATCTTCAATGGCTGTGCTATGTGTTCTATGCAAGTTAATATGCCTTTTCTGCAATTTCCAGGTGAGCACTTGGGCTGATGAAGAGAAAGAAGTATGCATATTTACTGGGCATTAAACTTCAGTAAGGTGTTAATAGATTTTAACTGGAACTTCAGATGTCTATCTGGCTAATCTGATGCTTAAGAATACTTTAGGTCTAAGCACAAAGCTATGATCTGGAATGTACTAAGAGGTGGGGAGGAAATGCATTTAACTAAATGCTTATCAAGATTTTAAAGCTTTCCAAAGAATTAACCCAGTACTTGAGGCTGACAAGTCTATCAATTCTTGCTCAAAAAGAGGATACTGTTTATCAATTCAACTCAGAATTTGTGTAGACAGAAGCTTTCTTTAATTGCTATAAGCATATGTTGCAATGGTCACCTCCTGTTGACTTTATAGTTGGGAGAAGGAAGGAAGAGGAACAAAAAAGCTATGATTTTCACTGTAATCTCCACACTTCATGGGAATGGCAGGTGTTCCTCTTGGGAGGGGAAGGTGTTATCTCTAACACCAAGGAAGAGGTTTAGTGTAGAAGTGATTGTGATTGCAAGATTTAATAAGACTGCCTCTAAACTATGTATGCTATACTATACAATGTAAATTCTTATTTTTTCTTGCATAGCTTCAGAGCTTTGTCTCTAACTTGCACAAATATTTTTAATGTCTATAAAACTGGTCACTTTTCATTATCATGCTAATACAACTGATTTGTATTACTATTGATAATAAAAAGAAAAACAGGCGTAATATTTGTTTGTTACTGATTTTTACAGCATTCTAAAAGCATGTCTAATCCCTAAATTCTTGAACCAGGCAACTACTGACTTCCAGTGTCTGGAACTAACCTTTGTATCAAATCTGTAACATGATTATATTACAGACTGTGGGAATGGGGGGGAGGAGGAGGTGGTGACTGAGGACCGCGTCGGTTTTCTGGAAGTAGTCTGCATATGTTTCAGGCCTGAACTGGTACAGTAGTTTGATTCATTAATAGTTAATTTTCCACCACCTAATTGGATCAGACAGCTTGTATCAACTGTGTAAATGACTGAGTTGCTTTACTCTTTCTTCAGTTGGTCTTGTGGCTCAAATAACAGAATAAGCAACATTGTGTGGAAATACTGATCCTTCCGAGTGTGCCACGCTCCATTCTGTGTTGGTTTGCGATGAACAAACTGCAGCAGAGAAGCTGAGATGCCTCTGAGGCAGGATGGTTCAGGACAGTCTTGCTGCACTGTTGCGCTGCTTTAACTTGGAGTGGCATAGAAATGGGATTCCCAGTAAAATTTGCGTGCAGTTTCTGCTGCCACTGCTGTACCAGTTGGAAACAGAACATCCCCTTGTTGATGACTTCTGGCCAAGGATTACAGCCATCTGCATAATCTTGTTTACATGGTGCTTGCCTGGTGTTTGCCCTGTGTTTCAGATTGCTACGGTGGTTTACATAGCTCTCCAGTGAAGTAATTTTTAAAAAATTCTGCAGCAGAGAAAGGGTAGTGGAGGCAGAAGAGGGTTCTGAGCACAGCTGTATTAGAGCTGCACCCAAAGCCCAGAATGGCACTTTTTTTTTTCAGATAATTCTGTGGGTGCTTGTGAGGAACAGGCCTTCCTTAAGTTTCAACAGGATGAAACTGGAGAATGATGGCACATACATAGCTTGGCTTTGGCCTCCTTCATGCTTGCCTGTGTTCTGCCCCGACCAGAACAATTAACTAGCGTGGTTCTGTGTGCTAAATGCTCTGAGGATTCCTGGGAAGGTACAGGCACCTCTTACTGAGAACTGTTGGCTCCATCTTGTGGCTTTAAGAGTTAGAAGCTCTACCATGGAGAGGGGCTGTTCAGCGTGCTCAGACGAGCATACAAGTAGCTGCTATTAATCTGCTACCTGAATTACACGTAGAAATCCACACTAACTAGATTCTTCTGGTCTCGTTGCTCTGCTGTATGATTCTCTTGTGCAGTAGGAGACTTTGCTCTAAATTAAAATTTTCCTTTTGCGTGCAAATCTAGTGTTAATTCTTGCCTAAACACTATAGTGTGCAGCAGAACACCCAATTTC